CTTGTCCATTATATGAGATGGTTTTAGTTCCTAGATATTTAAACTGGTTCATATGTTATAGCTTGTGAACATAACAGTTTCTTGTCCATTATATGAGACAGATAAAAGTTTCATTACAAGTAAGGTAGTCAGACACAAACAGACTGGTTTCCCTTTCCATTGACGCCTCGTTGTCACGCAGGGCATTTTCAATGTTGCAGAGGTGTTTGCTTCGGCGTTCGTTTAGAGTAAATAATGTTTGTTGGAAGTTGTGTTGTCGTGAGTCCATTTAAGGCACCACAGGCGCCTGTGTACAATTAAAAGTACTGCAGAAGGAAGCACCGCAGGCATGAGTATTTTTGAGTATGGGAACTTGGATGTTTTTGTATTTCTACGTTCGTTGGTTGTGCCCCCCCCCCACCCTCCCCCACCCCCGAGACAGGTAAGGCACTGACAGGGCATGTCAGAAAAACAAACCAGTTTCCGTACTCATTAAGCTTCAAGCGTATAGCAAAACGTAACGAGGACAGAGAGAGAGAGAGAGAGAGAGAGAGAGAGACAGAGAGAGAGAGAGAGAGAGAGAGAGAGAGAGAGAGAGAGACAGAGAGACAGAGACAGAGACAGAGACAGAGACAGAGACAGAGAGAGACAGAGAATGAGAGAGAGGTTTTCTTCTCCTTAATCCCTTTATTTTCCATTGTAATGCCTAGTTGGTGATTCTCTGTTAGTTTCTCCTCAGGATTTGTCTAATATAACGACATATTCCTTGTTTTATAACTGTTGTTACTGGTAGTTGCCCAGATTTTCTCTGATATCTTTACGCTTCTTGAATTATTCCAGTTTTGTTTTCATCATTTTCCTCGGACATTTGTTTATGAATGCATTTAATTTTCGTTCCATGCCTTTAGTTGCTCTACAGTTTTTCCTTGCACATGTTAAAACTGAAATAACATTAGAATGCAAAATGAGGAAAACTATACCAGGTAGAGTTCCATATTTTTTTCAATCTGTTGATGCCCTGTCAAAGCGTATCATAATTTCTTACTTTGTATTTCCTTCAGTATCAAAATTACTACATAAATAAGTAAATTGATTTGTTACTCAAATTACTTTTGTATCTAGTGTTACATCTGTTAGATCTGCTGTTGATGTCTTCAGTATATTTATCTTTTCATAACTTATCTGTAGTCCAAACTTTGATGCTATATTTGCTGAATCATCTGTTTTCATTTGCATGTCTTTACTGTTATTACTTAGCAAATTCAAGATCTTCCAACTGTGTGTTCTCCATTCAGTCAACGTCGGTGTTTGCAACACAACAGTTTTTTTTTTTTTATCACCAGTTATTGATTACGCTGAATAGCAGAAGATATAAATAACATCCCTGTTTCACTTCAGAATCAACTTCAAACCAATAAGGTAAACCATCATCTGTTCGCATTGCACACTCTCAACCTCCATTCATCGACTTGGTAATATTATTTGTATTGGTATCCTATAGCATTCCAAATTCACCATAGTAATGTTATATCTAAACTAACAAAAGCCTTCTCAAAGTCTAATGAATTCAGAACAAGAAGTTGTTGCTTTTCCAATAAATGTCTCCAAAATAGTTATCAGAGTGAACATTTGACCTAAGCAGCTTCTTTACGGTGGAAAACCTGCTTGTCCTTCTCTCAAGATTTTGTCCACTGCCGCTTTAATTCTGTTTATAATTATTCAATAAAAAAATTTTATATTCACTATAAACAAAATAATTCCTCTCCAGTTGTTACAGTCAGTAAGATTACCTTTCTCTGGAGTCGTTACAGAAATGTCTTTGTTCCCCTGATCTGGGATTCTTCCCTCTGTCCATTTTATACTAAACAACCCTTTTACTCGGCCTATAGCTACATCATCTAATTAGTTATAAATACCGGATATTAAGTGTCAAGAGGAAAAAGGGTAAAAGAGTGTTAGGCAGTATGGTCAAATAACTAATTACCTTGCTTAATCGTTCACTGATAGTTGCTGTAGGACCTGTAAAACAAATTAGGATGCAAACTTTACTTTTTAATAACTGAATTTTTTAGAAATAAAATTATGCAATATCAAATCATACATAAGCATTGATGGACATTTTACTGTCTACAGTATACAACTTTTGAAAATAAAAATGTTCATACAATAGAAATGGCACAAATCTTACGTCTACTAACATAGATTTAGGTTATAGAATTGAATGTTGCATATTGCCAAAGGGTGATCTATAGGGAAATGAAGTGCTCTCTTCTACTTTAATGGATGTCATCTGATCTTCTATGAAATTTCATTTGCTTTATTGACTAGTTTACATTGGAGATGGGAATCAGCGAACCATAAGGGTAAATAAACACTTAAGATTCAAAAGAGTATGTAACATTTTGGTATGTGTGTGTGTGAATGTTGTGGTATGTGGTGGGTGTGTGGTGTGTGTGTGTGGTGTGTGTGTGTTGTGTGTGGTGTGTATGTGTGGTGTGTGTGTGGTGTCTGTTGTGTATGTGTGGTGTGTGTGTGTTGTGGATGTGTGGTGTGTGTGTGTGTGGTGTGTGTATGTCAGTATTCAGGCATATGGATCATATTAGATGAAAGATCTATCGCGATCATGAGCAGACTAGCACAGACTAAAACTGCATTTTGTAAAATGAAGAGCACTTTTTGCAACAAGTCTTTATAATTGGGGTTAGGAAAATAATTCTAGCATGCTATGTAGAGCCAGCCTTAACATACGGCTGTGAATTGTAGAAAATTAATAAACATGCCGAATTATTTCGTGAGTCCTCAGGCATGTAACTCTACAGACGAATCCTTACAATTCCCTATAGACAGCCAAAAAGAGCATCCCAGAGGTTTTGAAAAAGGCGAGGGCTCGAAGACAACTTAATCACAAACATCAGAAAGAGACAGTCATCATTTTTAGTAATGCTATGAGAAAAAGTAAACTGGAATATGTTGACAAATAAAGATAACGCGAGACGATTCTTGACAGAGTGTTGACATGGCTTGGAGGGAGGTCAACACACCAACTGATACATGCTTTTGAAAATCGCAAATTTTAGAGAGTCATGTTTGCCTACGCCAGACAGCAGTACACTTAATCACACACACACACACACACACACACACACACACAGAGAGAGAGAGAGAGAGAGAATGAGAGAGAGAGAGAGAGAGAGAGAGAGAGAATGAGAGAGGAATAAGTGGAAACACGATACATGATTAAAACAAAACAACTAATAATAAAGTTCATTGCGTGTCTTCAAAAAAGTCGTCAAAAAACAATCCCACCATCTATTGACTGTTTGTGGATCTGCTGATCGATTTTATGTTCAGTAATTTGCCACTGGTCGTATTTAGATACTTTAATATGCAACACAATCCATCTATCCTCCCAATAACGGGCACATATTATGGCGGCCAAAAGCACACCCTGACAGTACCTCAGTCACATGTAAATTGCGCACTTACGGCGACTACCGCGTGGAGCGGGGCTAAACTAGCGTAGCGGCGTGGGAAATACTCTCGGCGGTGGCGGTAGTCGCCGGAAGTTCGCATTTTAAGTCGCCGGAAGTCCGCATATTACATTAGACTGTGGCCCTGTTAGGGTGTGTTTTCGGCCGCCATAATATGTACCCGTTATTCGGAGGACAACCCACAATCTTTATCATCAAGTGCCTTGCTGACAGGCGTAGGCGATCATGTCTGTCTCTCTCTCCATGGAGCTTTTCAGTGGTCATGATATGTTCCAGTTTCATTATTCTCATAGCATGACCAAGAAATGATAATTAATTGTCTCTCTCTGAGATTGTGATAATACAATACTAAGCTCTTTGCCAGTAACACACGCACCCTTTAAACACTAAGGTCAATGGCTTTTTCAAAAAACTACTATGATATCACGTAGGACTGGAGAGAGAAAAAGCTAAGTAGGATTTTTACCAAGCTGATATTCAGACCAAATAATATCGCCTAGCTGTTAACCGCAACAATAAAAAATGCAAGTCGTCCTGTTGTGTGCTAAAGTATCTTAGTGGGCAGATACTGTTGTGTGCTAAAGTATCTTAGTGGGCAGATACTGTTGTTTGCTAAAGTATCTTAGTGGGCAGATACTGTTGTGTGCTAAAGTATCTTAGTGGGCAGACACTGGTGTGTGCTAAAGTATCTTAGTGCGCAGACACTGTCGTGTGCTAAAGTATCTTAGTGGGCAGACACTGTTGTGTGCCAAAGTATCTTAGTGGGCAGATACTGTTGTGTACTAAAGTATCTTAGTGGGCAGACACTGTTGCGTGCTTAAGTCTCTTAGTGGGCTTAAAGTATCTTATTTGGGCAGACAATGTGCGTGCAAAGTATCAGACACTGTTTGTGTGCTAAAGTGTGTGCTAAATCTTAGTGGGCAGATAACTGTTGTGTGCTAAAGTATCTTAGTGGGCAGATACTGTTGTGTGCTAAAGTATCTTAGTGGGCAGATACTGTTGTGTGCTAAAGTGTCTTAGTGGCAGATACTGTTGTGTGCTAAAGTATCTTAGTGGGCAGACACTGTTGTGTGCTAAAGTATCTTAGTGGGCAGACACTGTTGTGTGCTAAAGTATCTTAGTGGGCAGATACTGTTGTGTGCTAAAGTGTCTTAGTGGGCAGATACTGTTGTGTGCTAAAGTATCTTAGTGGGCAGACACTGTTGTGTGCTAAAGTATCTTAGTGGGCAGACACTGTTGTGTGCTAAAGTATCTTAGTGGGCAGATACTGTTGTGTGCTAAAGTATCTTAGTGGGCAGATACTGTTGTGTGTGCTAAAGTATCTTAGTGGGCAGATACTGTTGTTGCTGTGCTAGTGGGCAAAGTATAAAGTATCTTAGTGGGCAAACACTGTTGTGTGCAGATACTTGTTGTGTGCTAAAGTATCTTAGTGGGGGCACTGTTGTGTGCTAAAGTATCTTAGTGGACAGACACTGTTGTGTGCTAAAGTATCTTAGTGGGCAGACACTGTTGTGTGCTAAAGTATCTTAGTGGCAGACACTGTTGTGTGCTAAAGTATCTTAGTGGGCAGATACACTGTTGTGTGCTAAAGTATCTTAGTGGGCAGACACTGTGTGTGCTAAAGTATCTTAGTGGGCAGACACTGTGTGTGTGCTAAAGTATCTTAGTGGGCAGATACTGTTGTGTGCTAAAGTATCTTAGTGGGCAGATACTGTTGTGTGCTAAAGTATCTTAGTGGGCAGACACTGTTGTGTGCTTAAAGTAGTAGTGGCAGACACTGTGGGCAGATACTGTTGTGTGCTAAAGTATCTTAGACTGTTGTGTGCTAAAGTCTCTTAGTGGGCAGATTGTGTGCTAAAGTATCTTAGTGGGCAGATACTGTTGTGTGCTAAAGTATCTTAGTGGGCAGACACTGTTGTGTGCTAAAGTATCTTAGTGGGCAGACACTGTTGTGTGCTAAAGTATCTTAGTGGGCAGATACTGTTGTGTGGGCTTAGTGGGCAGGACACTGTTGTGTGCTAAAGTAGTCTTAGTTCTTGTGGCAGACACTGTTGTGTGCTAAAGTATCTTAGTGGGCAGACACTGTTGTGTGCTAAAGTATCTTAGTGGGCAGAACTGTTTTGTGTGCTAAAGTATTCTTAGTGGGCAGACACTGTTGTGTGCTGCTAAAGTATCTTAGTGGGCAGACACTGTTGTGTGCTAAAGTATCTTAGTGGGCAGATACACTGTGTGTGCTAAAGTAAAGTATCTTAGTGGGCAGACACTGTTGTGTGATACTGGTTTGTGTGCTAAAGTATCTTAGTGGGCAGACACTGTTGTGTGCTAAAAGTAGTCTGTAGTGGGCAGACATGTTGTGTGCTAAAAGTATCTTAGTGGGCTAAAGTTGTGTGCTAAAGTATCTCTTAGCTTGAGTACAGACACTGTTGTGTGCCTAAAGTATCTTAGTGGGCAGATACTGTTGTGTGCTAAAGTACTGTTGTTTTGCTTAGTGGGCAGATACTGTTGTGTGCTAAAAGTATCTTAGTGGGCAGCACTGTTGTGTGCTAAAGTATCTTAGTTATACTGTTGTGTGCTAAAGCAGACAGACACTGTTGTGTGTGTATCTAGAAGTGTCTAGTGGGCAGACACTGTTGTGTGCTAAAGTATCTTAGTGGCAGCTGTTGTGTGCTAAAGTATCTTAGTGGGCAGACACTGTTTGTGTGCTAAAGTATCTTAGTGGGGCAGATACTGTTGTGTGCTAAAGTATCTTAGTGGGCAGACACTGTTGTGTGCTAAAGTATCTTAGTGGGCAGATACTGTTGTGTGCTAAAGTATCTTAGTGGGCATACTGTGTGTGCTAAAGTATCTTAGTGGGCAGATACTGTTGTGTGCTAAAGTATCTTAGTGGGCAGACACTGTTGTGTGCTAAAGTATCTTAGTGGGCAGATACTGTTGTGCTAAAGTGCTAGAAGTAAAGTCTCTTAGTGGGCAGATACTGTTTGTGTGCTAAAGTATCTTAGTGGGCAGACACTGTTGTGTGCTATGGGCAGAAGCCAAAGTATCTTAGTGGGCAGACACTGTTGTGTGCTAAAGTATCTTTAGTGGGCAGACACTGTTGTGTGCTAAAGTATCTTAGTGGGCAGAACTGTTGTGTGCTAAAGTCTTAGTGGGGGCAGATGGGCAGATACTGTTGTGTGCTAAAGTATCTAGTGGGCAGACACTGTTGTGTGCTAAAGTATCTTAGTGGGCAGACACTGTTGTGTGTGCTCTTAGTGGGCAACACTGTTGTTGTGCTAAAGTATCTTAGTGGGCAGACACTGTTGTGTGCTAAAGTATCTTAGTGGGCAGACACTGTTGTGTGCTAAAGTATCTTAGTGGGCAGATACCACTGTTACTTAGTTTTGTTGTGCTTAGTAGTGGGCAGAAAGTAAAGTATCTTAGTGGGGCAGACACTGTTGTGTGCTAAAGTATCTTAGTGGGCAGACACTGTTGTGTGCTAAAGTATCTTAGTGGGCAGACACTGTTGTGTGCTAAAGTATCTTAGTGGGCAGACACTGTTTGTGTGCTAAAAGTACTGTGTGGTGCAGTATTTAGTGGGCAGATACTGTTGTGTGCTAAAGTATATAGTGTGGGCAGACACTGTCGTGTGCTAAAGTATCTTAGTGGGCAGATACCTTTGTGTGCTAAAGTGTCTTAGTGGGCAGATACTGTTGTGTGCTAAAGTATCTTAGTGGACAGACACTGTTGTGTGCTAAAGTATCTTAGTGGGCAGACACTGTTGTGTGCTAAAGTATCTTAGTGGGCAGATACTGTTGTGTGCTAAAGTATCTTAGTGGGCAGATACTGTTGTGTGCTAAAGTATCTTAGTGGGCAGACACTGTTGTGTGCTAAAGTATCTTAGTGGGCAGACACTGTTGTGTGCTAAAGTATCTTAGTGGGCAGATACTGTTGTGTGCTAAAGTATCTTAGTGGACAGACACTGTTGTGTGCCAAAGTATCTTAGTGGGCAGACACTGTTGTGTGCTAAAGTATCTTAGTGGGCAGATACTGTTGTGTACTAAAGTATCTTAGTGGACAGATACTGTTGTGTGCTAAAGTATCTTAGTGGGCAGATACTGTTGTGTGCTAAAGTCTCTTAGTGGGCAGATACTGTTGTGTGCTAAAGTATCTTACTGTTGTGTGCTAAAGATCTTAGTAGACACTGTTGTGTGCTAAAGTATCTTAGTGGGCAGATACTGTTGTGTGCTAAAGTATCTTAGTGGGCAGATACTGTTGTGTGCTAAAGTATCTTAGTGGGCAGATACTTTTGTGTGCTAAAGTATCTTAGTGGGCAGATACTGTTGTGTGCTAAAGTATCTTAGTGGGCAGATACTGTTGTGTGCTAAAGTATCTTAGTGGGCAGACACTGTTGTGTGCTAAAGTATCTTAGTGGGCAGACACTGTTGTGTGCTAAAGTATCTTAGTGGGCAGACACTGTTGTGTGCTAAAGTATCTTAGTGGGCAGATACTGTTGTGTGCTAAAGTATCTTAGTGGGCAGACACTGTTGTGTGCTAAAGTATCTTAGTGGGCAGACACTGTTGTGTGCTAAAGTATCTTAGTGGCTAAAGACACTGTTTGTTGTGTGCTAAAGTATCTTAGTGGGCAGACACTGTTGTGTGCTAAAGTATCTTAGTGGGCAGACACTGTTGTGTGCTAAAGTATCTTAGTGGGCAGACACTGTTGTGTGCTAAAGTATCTTAGTGGGCAGACACTGTTGTGTGCTAAAGTATCTTAGTGGGCAGATACTGTTGTGTGCTAAAGTATCTTAGTGGGCAGATACTGTTGTGTGCTAAAGTATCTTAGTGGGCAGATACTGTTGTGTGCTAAAGTATCTTAGTGGGCAGATACTGTTGTGTGCTAAAGTATCTTAGTGGGCAGACACTGTTGTGTGCTAAAGTATCTTAGTGGGCAGCAGATATCTGCTGTTGTGTGCTAAAGTATCTTAGTGGGCAAGATACTGTTTGTGTGCTAAAGTATCTTAGTGGGCAGACACTGTTGTGTGCTAAAGTATCTTAGTGGGGCAGATACTGTTGTGTGCTAAAGTATCTTAGTGCTAAAGTTCTTAGGAGCAGATACTGGCAGATACTGTTGATACTGTGTGTGCTAAAGTATCTTAGTGGGCAGATACTGTTGTGTGCTAAAGTATCTTAGTGGGCAGATCTGTTGTGTGCTAAAGGCAGTGGGCAGACACTGTTGTGTGCTAAAGTATCTTAGTGGGCAGATACTGTTGTGTGCTAAAGTATCTTAGTGGGCAGATACTGTTGTGTGCTAAAGTATCTTAGTGGGCAGACACTGTTGTGTGCTAAAGTATCTTAGTGGGCAGATACTGTTGTGTGCTAAAGTATCTTAGTGGGCAGATACTCTTGTGTGCTAAAGTATCTTAATGGGCAGATACTGTTGTGTGCTAAAGTATCTTAGTGGGTAGACTGTGTGGTGTGCTAAAGTATCTTAGTGGGCAGACACTGTTGTGTGCTAACACTGTTGTGTGCTAAAGTATCTTAGTGGGCAGACACTGTTGTGTGCTAAAGTGTCTTAGTGGGCAGATAATGTTGTGTGCTAAAGTGTCTTAGTGGGTAGATACTGTTGTGTGCTAAAGTATCTTAGTGGGCAGACACTGTCGTGTGCTAAAGTATCTTAGTGGGCAGATATTGTTGTGTGCTAAAGTGTCTTAGTGGGCAGACAGCACACGACTAAGTGTCCTGTTTATGATTCACACTCCGAACTGTTGTACCCAACTTGCGCACAAACTGTCAGGAAAACCCAACGACCTGTTGCCGCCAAGTACGATCGGGTATACACAAACCCTCACATAGAATAATGCAAGCGAAGTAATCTTACACATCACTGGTTAATGATAAAATGAATGCCCCACGCTTCGCTCACTCAAACTGGCGATAAAGCGGCGCTCTCTCGGACAGCCTAGACTAGCTGCCACTACACGCTGAGCTGACCGCTACAATGCCTAGGTCTCTAGCTGCCCTCATTTCAGGGCTCGCTGTAAGGATGAACAGGTTGCATTGCCTACTCGACTTGCGTTGCTCTATACGTAGCAGACAATGTCACATCGGCTGACTGGAAAACTTCAGGATGCTTGATCTCCAGAATGTACACACAGCACATCAGACTGGTCAAAGGAACCACGATGACCGGCAGGACTCTATGAGTCCTCTTCAGCATTCAAATGTCACCAGAATCTCTGCTGTCTTGTTTCACTAATGATCACTGCCGCCTCACATGCGTCGTCACCCAAGACAGCTTTTTCTTGAACTATTCCAGCTCTAGTTACCCAACTCTTCCAACTGGACTTCTCTTCCTTCGACTGCACTCTCGACTGTCCTCTAGACCAGTCTCTCGTGAGTGCTTCCGCCTCGAACGTTTTCAACTCAACTGTTCGAGCTCTCTCTCTCTCTCTCTCTCTCTCTCTCTCTCTCTCTCTCTCTCTCTCTCTCTCTCTCTCTCTCTCTCTCTCTCTCTCTCTCTCTCTCTCTCTCTCTCTCTCTCACTAAGTATGATAATCCGCTCGCACTGGACTGACATCTCGTGAACCCACTGGTCCATCCATTGCTAAGTCAATACCGACTTATAATATTGACTCAAGCCGAACTGACACCTCCTAGCTTAAGTCAACACTGCCCCAAATATTGACTAAGGTCACCAGACATTCCAGTGGACTCACCAGCAGCAGCAGCAGCATCAGCAGCAACAGCAGCAGCAGTAGTAGTAGTAGTAGTAGTAGTAGTAGTAGTAGTAGTAGTAGTAGTAGTAGTAGTAGTAGTAGTATTAGTAGTAGTAGTAGTAGTAGTAGTAGTAGTAATAGTGGTAGTAGTAGTAGTAGTAGTAGTAGTAGTAGTAGTAGTAGTAGTAGTAGTAGTAGTAGTAGTAGTAGTAGTAGTAGTAGTAGTAGTAGTAGTAGTAGTAGTAGTAGTAGTAATAGTGGTAGTAGTAGTAGAAAAAGAACAACAACAATAACAACAACAACAACAACAAAAACCAGAACCGTACTTAGCATCAAGAAACAAGCAGCCTCTTGCAGTCCTCCATGCTCCTCAATGAGCTCTCGAGCAAGATTCCTGTTTATACGTCCAGTGAACAACCGACAAAGTCTCTCCACCTGTGTATACCACACATAAACCATTACGTCCATACCAGATGTATGTTACCAGCGTCAGACACCAAATGTTGGTAAATACAATGTGTTACAATCGTTACCTAAACGGCATTGTTCTGACAGCCCCTGATTTAGTTTGTCTTTTTTTTTAAATTCAGATCTCTACAGTGCATGATGTTGTGGTGACTGTTGTTCACACTTCAGAATTTCCAAGTTTTTTGTTTTGTTTTTGGGCAGAGATGTTGAGTTTTCTATAATGATAACTTTACCACGTTTCTTCTTGGTAGTCACTGACTGTAAATTCCAGTGCATAGTTATGGCTTTGTATTTACTTTTTAGCTTCGGCTTTGTATCCAGGTTTCGGTTGTTGTTTTGGCACATCCTTTTCACAGATCTGGCTTTCTTGTAAGTGAGGTAGAGGCACTTCAGTTTCGGTTGAAAAAACAATCCCATTACGTTGGCCAGGCTATCTACACCATTTCATGATGATCCCGAAAACAGGTTCACTGGTAATCTCTAATTACTAAATTACCATGGGACCTTTTCCTGTGATCACCCTGCAAAAGGTGTAGTTAGTAAGTTGCGTATCCTTTACATGACGTTGCAGAACCAACCCCAGTATTTTTTTGGCTGTTGTTTTTTTAATGCATGTTTACGTCCAGTAGTTTGCTATTGCCCCCTGGACGGTCCGCTTCTCGATGCCGCTGTGGAAATCAGCGCAAGGCACAAGGCCTGCAGCTGGGATCGAACCCTGCACCCTGGCATTACAAAGCGCGTTCGTAACGCATGAGCCACAAACGCCGACCAACTGGTGTAGAAAGGTAAAAAAAAAAATATGTATGCAGGATTGATTTGATGACCCTACACACTTCCTAAACGGTGGCGAGTCGCCTATTGGCCTGCAGCTGTTTATGACCATAATAACCTAAGCTCAAAAGGAGACATTTCTCTAAAGTTTTCAGCTGAAAAAGGACATCAAGTAACTCAGTACAATCCCGCCCCTTTAATCTAGGACATTAGAAATGCAGTTCATTATTGATGGTAGAAGAAGTCACCAACAGATCATCAGTTGCCCAAGCGATCAATTTTAATCACATACGGGCACCACCAACATTGCACGACAGGCATCGCGCCATTTTCTGAATCTACAATTCACACCACCAAGTTGGTCACAGTCATAAAAACATTCTAAATGAAATCCGCAGCTCACAGTGTCAAGCCATGCATTCAACTCAGAAGCTGGGCCAAGAAACTATATCCAGTCTACAAATGGAGCAAAAATGCATCAGCCACCGTCCGGCAGAAGCAACAAATTTGCCTCGGCTTCGAACAGTGCCCCTGCCTAGCGTCCATTTTGACCAGAAACTTTTGTCTGTATGATCACCCTAAGCCAGTAGGTCACCCCTTCGTCGATGCACACATTTGGCACGTTAGGATCTTTCATACACTCACTTTCACACATTAGTCGTAATAACGCAGATCACTACACTTACCTCGTCATCCAGCTGTGCCACCTGCCTGTCCGCCATGTCAACTCCAACTACAACTGATTACCCGTCCACGGTCTACCAGGCAGTGTTGCCACTTTTCTTTGAGAAAAAACATCCAAAACGTAGTCCAAAAAATATCTTAAAACATCTAAATTTGCGTAAAAAACATCTAAAACCATCCAAATGGACAGAGTCACAAATTACATAGCAATTGATATGACTTACCTTATAGAATCATGTCCTCATCTTTACTGAAGTCTGCCTTACAAGATCCACAGGATAAACTTAGCTTGGATGATGAAGTTGAAGCTTCAGATCCCAAATGACTCTGGTATGCTTTAGCTGTTCCAATTTCTTGTAATACCCAATAAGGTAGCTGATAAGTGAAACAGCCTTTTCCTACTCATATCAGGCAACATTTTATTGTCAAGATAGCTTTTAAAAGGTGCAGTTTCATCCTGTTTCTTAAATAAGATTTGATAAATTTACTCCAAATGAAAAACATCTAGAAAACATCTACCATCTAAACGTCATAAAACGCCATCTAAAAGCAAGGAAAAACATCTAAATTTGGATGTAAAACATTAAAAGTGGCAACAGTGCTACCAGGATTTAGATTGCAAGCACCGGGTGATAAAGAAAATGAAACCACTCTTAACAAACGATTTACCGGAAAGCAGGGCCAGTGTACTTGCGCTTTGACAGACCTAGTCAAAAAAATGAACACAATCGACAGAGAAAAAGAACATGTAGAGAACCTCAGCAAAAGCACAGACACACAGATGCACAAGTGAAGGTTTTCGCCAAAGTTTTTATCACTGAAAACAAACACCCGGAAAAAAAATGTATTATATTTACTGCATATTTACTGCATATTTACTGCAAACACATATCACTATCAGAAACAGGTGACTTGCTAGTTGCAACGATTGCTAGGGTAGCCCAAACATTTGTCTCTTTTCCTTTTTGAAATCTCAGTCTCGTCACCCCCCCCCCCCTCCCAACACCTTGTCAATCTGCTTATATCTCACTACGAGTCGCTTCGGACCCCCTCCCCCTCCCATATATACACACATACACATATTAATATAAGCTTTAAAACATGCCACCCAAACTTCTTCTAGCTCTCTATCTCTCTCTTCCTTTCTCTCTTCCTTTCTCTCTTTCTTTCTGTCCCACCACAACAACCAGGGACCTCTAAACCTGCCTCTCCCTCCCTCTCTCTCTCTCTCTCTCTCTCTCTCTCTCTCTCTCTCGCGCACACACACACACACACACACACACACACACACACCACCACCACCAGATGCTGCCAAACCTGCGTTCTATCTATCTATCTATCTATCTATCTATCTATCTATCTATCTATCTATCTATCTATCTATCTATCTATCTATCTATCTATCTATCTATCTATCTATCTATCTATCTATCTATCTATCTATCTATCTATCTATCTATCTATCTATCTATCTATCTATCTATCTATCCATCCATCCATCCATCCATCTATCTATCTATCTATCTATCTATCTATCTATCTATCTATCTATCTATCTATCTATCTATCTATCTATCTATCTATCTATCTATCTATCTATCTATCTATCTATCTATCTATCTATCTATCTATCTATCTATCTATCTATCTATCTATCTATCTATCTATCTATCTATCTATCTATCTATCTATCTATCTATCTATCTATCTATCTATCTATCTATCTATCTATCTATCTATTGACTTCTTCACTTTTACCGGGTTGCAGCCCAGTGTCATGGTTCAAAATATTTGTTTTGTGCCTCTCGCGTGATTTGAGTGACAGTTTTATGGATCTTCTGGCCGTATTCAGCTACTCCATCTATCCATTTTTTCCTGGGTCTTCCTCTGGCCTTTCTTCCCCATGTTCTACTGTAAAAGGCCTTATAGGCAATCTGATCCGGTTGCATTCTTACTAAATGGCTAAACCACTTCATTCTCTGTCTTTCAATATGTTTCATGCATGCTCTTGTTCCAACTTTGTCTCTAATGCTGACGTTTGTGACTCTGTCTCTTCGTGTATTGTTGGTGACTCTTCGGAGACATCGCATTTCACAAGTAGTTATTTTTTGCATATGTGATTTGTTCATTGTCCACGTTTGGCACTGATAACATAAAGTAGGGATGAAAATGCTGTTGATCCTCCGTTGTTTGGCTGGTAACGAGATCTTTGGATGACGAAGAAGTGGGGCCAGTTGGTAGTTGACTGCATTAGCTTTTTGAACTCTAGCCTGTATCTCTTTATCGAATCTTCCATCTTCTGTAAATATGCATCCTAAGTACTTGAATTCTTGAACTTGTTCTAATTGTATGTCATTGATATTTATGTTTACATTACTGTGTTTCTTTCCTATGGTCATTACTTCAGTTTTTGATGTGTTTATTTTCATGTCAAATTTTGTACAGTTAGTGAGCAATGAATCAACATGTTGTTGTAGTTTTTATTCTTCTTCTTGTAACAAACATTAGTCATCTGCAAAGAGTAGTTCATTTATAATATCTGTGTTTTGGTTTGACTCCTGTGCAATTTTATCCATATATGTGATGAAGAGTAGGGGTGATTGGACACATCCTTGTCGTACTCCTGATGTAATGGGGAACCAATATGTCATACCTTCCGTTGTTCTTACAGCGCTCTGGCTATTTTGATAGAGAGCCATTATGTTTCCCAATAAATGACCCGGTACACCATATTCTTCAAGAATGTTCACTAGTTTATTTATGTTAACCCTGTCAAAAGCCTTCTCTTGATCAATGAATATAAGATTCTGGTGTTTATTATATTCGATTGTCTGTTCACAAATTTGCCGAAGAGTAAATATTGCATCAGTGCAGCTCTTTCCTTTTCTAAATCCAAACTGATTGTTACTTAATTGAGGTTCTAATATCACCCTCGCTCTTCGTTCTAATATTTTTGCAAACATCTTTCCTACATAGCTTCGTAAAGAGATACCTCTGTATGTTTCACAATCTCGTTTATCACCTTTCTTCTTCCATATGGGAACTATAATTGCTCTCTGCCAGTCAACGGAAACTTTCATTTCCTCCCAGGCCATATTGAATATTCTTGTCAGCCATTTTACTGCTGTTGCCTTACATGCAAGTATTATGTCTGTTGTAATACCATCTGTTCTGGCCGCTTTGTTTCTTTTGCTTTGCTCTAGGATCTTTTCAACTTCAGATTCTAATATATTAGGTTCCTGTTCTTATCCAAATTTTATTTTATTAGACACTGGTTCTCGTGGTCCAATATTCAGTAATTCAGAAAGATATTCTTGCCATCTTCTTTTAACATCTTAGGATTTGGTGAGTGGTTTTTTATCCTGGCTGTTTATAATCTTTGATGAGTTAAATTTCTCCTCTCAGTCTCATAGCTTTGATGCTTCGGCAGAAATGACCTGGTGAATCAGTGCATAGCCTTGCTAATTGTTCTCCGTAGTTTGACCATGATTCTGATTTCGCAGAATTTACTT